CCATAGCACAACAATTTTTTTTCTAAATAAAATGTATACTTTTTCCTTTAAATGTTTTTTTGCATAATAAATAAAAGTACATAAACGTTGCAGATCAACTCTAATGTTCATTCAGCTGTTTGTTTCAGCTTGTGCAGTTACCTCAGTTACCTCATTTTAAATGGAACATGGGGCCGTGCAATATTTTACTATTATTGTAACTTTTTATTTTTCAATTATAATGTTAAATTTTTGCTCTGGAACCTTTGTGTGAAATTGAACAGTGTTTTCTGACATAAGGTCTGTTGGATGTAGCTGTTTTGATTTTATAATGTCTGTCTTTAGCGCTGCAAAGTAGGGCATCTTAATTTTGTTATACCTGGTATAATGACAATAAAGATATTCTTGTTCTCAGTGGTTTTTCTCCTGAACAGGAGACAGCAGAGTCCCACAGATGAGGCCAGAGATGTTTGTAATTACCTGATCGGCTGCTGATTGGTTGAGTGCTTTACATTTATGTTCTATACGTTAGCATGACTTTCAGAGGAAAGTGTTGACAGGTGAGCAAAGAGGGGTTTGTCATGTCTCTGTGTGTTTGTGGGGGGTTTAGTTACAGACAGGTGAGTCCCACATGGCATCTGACAGAGATGAGTTGTGTTTGGMCATGCCCTGCAGAGCCAGGTGCTAGCAGACAAGCACAGATACTTTGTTTACCTTTATTGTGGTAGTTTAGGGGTGGATATGAAGGAGGGCAAAGGGAACCGGACACCCTCTCTGGACCTGGGGTGAGCTCAGTGATGGTGCTGACAGTGCAGGAGGCGGGGGGGTCATTATCATTTCTGGATGGTACCAGAGAACGACCCAAGAACAAAGGCTTCAGTATCAGTTATGATACTGCAGGTTATATTTATTATTTGACTGTGAGGCTCATTAGTGCAAGGCTGATGGCAGAAAAATAAATATTTAAAGCTCAACATGCTACGCTTGCATAAAAGAAATCAAATTATACTTCTAAAGTTTATCCAAAAGTATTCCGATTTATTTATTTTTATGTTGTCCAATAGCATCTGACAAAAGATTGAACTTGATTACTTTGAATAAAATTAAAGTGGACTGAAGTTACTTTTTAGTTTTTGGCATTGTGCTGGAAAAATGAATATATTTTCTTCGATCATGATTTAACACTCATGACCAAGTTGATGGTTGGACTTCAGAAAAGCATATTTACTTAGGTTTTAGTCAGAAAAATGTCCCATTTMTTTAGATGTGTTGGATTTACTAAACCAAATTTTGTCACCTGGTTCCACTCAATTGAATTGAGTAAATTTAAGTTAAGTAAATCCAACCAGGGCCCGCCCATGGCATATAGGCAGAATTCAGTAAAATTATACATATTAAATCAACTATAATGGGTATGGTTATAAATGTTATTATATTAGTATAACATACTGAATTCTAATCAATGTGGAATTTAGTAAAATTCTACAGACATTTTAAT